AATCTTAAAGCTGCAGATTGAATACCTTTAAGCTTTTTTAAGGTAGTTTTACTTGCAGAGTTATAACAAATGCAACAGTAATCTAGTTTATTCCTAATGAGTGATTTATATAAGTTTATTAATATTTTAGTATCTGCGCCCCAAACTTTATTAGACATAATTTTGAGTATATTGAAGCTAGATTGACAGGGATGTTGTAGATTATTAATATGCAAGTTCCAATTTAAGGTTCTGGTAAAAGGTAAACCTAGAAAATTAACTTCTTCTGATTGTTTTATTGCTAAATTATTTAAAGTTAGGTAAGTTAAATAATAGGAGAATTATAAATAATTGATGGATTCGACCGTTACTTGATGGAAATTCATTTTATGTAACAATAAAACACTGAAAACTTTGTTTTCAAACTTCCACAAAATTTATTTTAAATATTATCACTACAGCTGTTTCGGCTGATTGCCTTTCTCAAGTGATCTATTTTGTCTTGGGTTTACAAATTTATAGTCTCTAATGAAATAGGTTGAGGAGGGGAGAACTGTTTGTCTCAAGTTGGTCATTCAGAATTATATCTGTGTTTTTTAATTTGTTGATTTCCATAGATTCTAACAAAGATAGCTTAAGGCCTTTATTTTGAATGTGAAGAATTTTAAATTTGTCATTAAAAGAATGATTATGATCTAGAAGGTGAAGTGCGTATGTCGAATCTGTTTTTCTATTCTTGAAAGCCCTTTTATGTTCTGCTATTCGTTTATCAAAGTTTCTACCAGTTTGACCGATGTAAGTTTTTGGGCAGTCGCCACATTGGAGTTTGTATACACCACTATTTAAGTGTTTTTTATTTTGGCTCTTGTTATTTTTAATATATTTGCCTAGGTTGTTATTTGTTCGGAAAGCTGGTGTTATTCCTTTCTTTTTTATGTGTTTGGCAATTTTTGTTGTTATTTTGCCTGTATATGTAATCGAGCAGAAGGTACTGGGTTTTTTCTCTGGTGGTGGAAATACTAATTTCAGGGCTTTCTTGTGTAGTTTTTGATTTAACATTTTATTAATTGTTTGTTCGTTGTATCCGTTGTTTACTGCTATTTGTTTAATTATATTTAATTCTGTCTCAAAGTTGTCTTTTGACATCGGAATTTCTGTTA